AAAGTGAGATATGTTAAGCTAAACAATTACAAGTGTATGGTCTTATCTTTGGATATTTATTGCTATGGGTGTGTTACTTTGGGGTGGAGCAAGTTGCAATCGTTGTCAATCAAAGCACGTAATAGATTACCTGTATGACCATATATGGTAAATGTACATACGATTTTAAATTGGCAAGGCAAACTATCCAAAACATCCCGCAATTCACACAGCTAACCAATAATGCACCGCCTCGACCCACCACCGTAGACCAAAACCGAAACAACGTTTATTATACTTATACACGAAAATAAAATCAAACCAAAATATTAATTAAAGGGCCAATCCCGATAATATTTTGGAGAATAAAACTGCTTAATTTTGTATTAAAATCCCTTAAAATCCTCTGCATTAGGGCCGAGCAACTAACTATATGTGATACGTTTTCAAACAACTTAAACCCGTCAGTCTTCATCTGGAAATGGAGACCGGTGTCACAAAGCTGTATTATGCGGTGTGTGGATAAAACCAGACTTTTATTTTATAAAAATAATGTGTCGGTGAAATTTACCTTTCGTTATCAAGTATAGCACATGGGTCATTCACTGTATAAACCTCAAAAGGGACGGGAATCGATTATCAGGTCACCCATCGAAAAAATTGACCCGAAATCTTAAAAGGGTTACGTGCCCGGATAAGCAGTTTTGATGTTCACGCCCAAATACCTCTGTATTTTGAGCTAAAATTTTGAGACGGGATAAATACACCATTCCTCTATATTTTGGCGTTTAAATTTCATACGTACTCGGACTTTGTTCAAATCGGGATAGTCCCTTTAAACATGAGCTTATATACCTTTCAGACGCTTATTTTTAAACGAGTTCAAAATCGCAGTTTTTTAAGACAGGGTCGTGTTGCGTTATCACGTACTATAAGCCAAACCTGTTTAATTATTGTGACCTATTGTGGAATTTTTAAGCCAAACCGTTTACACGGCCAAGATGAATCAGTTTAAAATAAAAAGCCTTATCGAAGACAGGTCGCGAGCTGGGGGTTTTAAACTGGTTTATTTGCCCCATATTTGCGTTTAGTCGTCAAAGATAAACTGGTTTAACGATCCCCAGGGTTTTAAAAAATAATTCAACTTAAGCGTCTGAACGGGCTATTAGACCCTGGATCATATTTCTACTGTGAACTAGAATAAAGCATAAAATGAAGTGGGGTTTAACGTTTTACTTTCTGTTCCAAACGCCATGAAGTATGCTATGATCGAATGTTTTGCTTGGATATCGGCGGTACAGCCTACTCTTATTTCGATATCCAATTGCCAGTGAATCTTTAACGTGATGCAAATGGTCATCGGTTTTTCATACCATCTGAATGACTAGACGATTTTCCTGCTCCATTGCCAATTTTCTGCTCCATTGCCAGGTCTAAACCAGACTGGAAAATATGGAGAAAACGTTCATGGCTAACACCGAAATCTCTTACTCACTGTGCTACCGTCGATTCCTAGATTAAAGCAGCACCTATATATCGTAAAAATACAAGTGTATATTTGGACGCCGGGGGTTGAGTGGCCGAATGTTTAACGCGTGCACTTTTGACCAGAAGGTCTGTCATGAGTCTAGTGGCGTGGTTTCGATTCCCCACTACGTAGCAAGGAGTAAAGTCGCCTGTTCAACATCGTGGGTATCCTGTGGGTCCTCCGGTTTCATGCCACTGTTAAAGATCCCTAAGCGCAAACGAATTATTGAAATAAAATTGAACTATATGTTAGTCCCGAGAAAACTTAGTTTGTGTCGAGTGGACGTTAACACTTTAACACCCCCCCCCCTCTCTCTCTCTCTCTCTCTCTCTCTCTCTCTCGACGCCCCAAAGTGTAATATTGTACCTACACCATCTCAACGATACAAAGGAAGTTCCTTTTTCCGGATTAGAGTGTCATCCGTAATATAATGTATGCGTATGCACATTTATAGAAGTAGAGTCCATTTGCATTAGGACAAAACAAAAGTTTGAATTTGATTGAATCAGATTTCTAGCCAAACAAAAAGCGAGTACGTATCTAACGAATTGTGTCTACATCATCGCAACGGATGTTCCCCTTTCCGGATTAGGGTGAAATTTTGTGCACAATTATCAAACAAGTTTGATAAAAGTATTGTCTGAAACAGTTTGTATAATTGAATCAATTTTTAACGGATTAAAACGGATTAATATTCTTTAAATACGCTTTACGTGTTTTGTAACGTGAAATGAATGCGTTGTCAAGTTTCGCGGCTTTACTTTGGACGAAATATAAAAATGTGAAACAGACTATACATGTTACATAAATTATCAGAATGCTCTGCTTCCTGCAACACACAGTTCACTATTATAGAAGCAATATCTGCTGGTTGCTAGATGGTGGTAACTATTTTAATATAAACAGAAACAATAATACGAAATGTGCAATCTAGAAATTGCCGGTTCGGTATGTTACTATAAATATAGGCCTACATTTGAATTGGCTTTGGATTGGTCTATGGACTCTCCCTTAATACTAATTACGATTTCCAAATTTATACATTGAAATAATTGGCGAAATACCTATTAGATATTTTTCAGTTGATAGGATGTGTTAGTGGTTATTACATATCAATTGTTCCTCCGCCAAATATTCTGTTAATAGACTATCAGATATTATTTATGCTTACAATAATATAATATGCGTATATCAGTTACGGTTGACTGGTATCCGGTCGTCTTCAATAGCCCGATTGGTGTAGAAAAGTAGAACGCTAAACCCCATGTTATTTTCATTTTACCAGTATCCGAAATTGCATATCTTTATCTTTTCTCGAAGTAGATAGGTCTCTTTGAGATTGTTAAATAATTTGCGATTAAGAAGATTGGTGTTTTTCACCCTGTCGTTTACCTCATACGTTATTATTATACTGATAAACTGAATAAAGTATTCAGATTCGTTCGAAAGTGCGTCCATACAGAAATGAAATTAAATGGGGTTTAACGTCCTACTGTTCTGCTCCTAAACTGGGCTAATGAAGACGGGCATACGCCATACAGTGTGCTATGAGGGAAATCTTTTTTTTTTTTTTTTTTTCTTCTTGTGGTGGGGGTGGGGCAGGTTTATATAGTTATATTCGTTATATAGTTATAGTAGTTAATGTGTAGTTCACAGTAAGCATATCTTCCCTCCTCCTAAAAGTGTGGAGCGAATCCGAACTCTTTGAGTACTGGTTTATCTTATTTCTGACCAAATTTATCACCATATTCAGATTCATCACTATATATTCTACTAAATATATAGTAAAACTACATTGTTATTAGGAAGTAGGGAATATGTAATATATATTATGACTTTGCTTTTGTATAAACGTGACATTATGTTTATACTTATCATCATTTTACAGAATACGATAAATATAATATTTGTTAGAGATTTCCAGTTTTATTTCAATCATTAAAATAAAAGACCATGTTTAAACGAATATCACTCCAATATATTTATTATGCCACATATCGGCACATATCAGGTAATAGACATCTTTACGAATCCCACAATCTTTATACACGTCCGCCGACTCTACTACAAAATAAAATCAAGTATCAATCGATGTCGTGGGGTTGTGATTGCCTAGTGCTCTAGAATGTCAAGCTTTGAGCTCTAACTGGCCGGTCACTTCTGACTTGCGGTCATGCCTTCCGTCCCTGGTTGTGAGCGTATGTGGCTTGGAGATAGGTGCGCCTTCTCAACCTCGTGGGCCTACTCCGGGTAACTCGGTTTCCTCCCACAGGAAAGCCCCCATGCTCTTGCGCTAAGATAATAAAAATAAGACTTCTCTGTGATATCACCCTCGGTGGAAGCGCCCGTTAAACACTCTCGGTGTTGATTAAACCAAAATCTGAGCCCAATGACTTTCTGTTTTTCCACAGTCAGTCTGGTTTACAATTTCTTCAAAACAATACTTCCTTATCTTGGGGACTAATATCAATCTCAGATTGTAATGTGTTCGCTGTTTATCTTTAAGAACGAATACATTTCAGTTAAAATTTTACCATTTCACAATAATTGTTCCCGATCCCTAATCTTGTGCCGAACCCCTTTTTAACGGCCTTATGAATCAAAGCTTACATACAAGGGAGTTAGGGACATTAGGCAATCTTGAAATTAAAGGGGTTGACGGTTCAATACACATGTTTGTAAAACGACTATGGTACCTTCATCTTTTATATTAAGCATTTACATGCAACGTTTTGGAGGTGGTATTCTCGTCTTTATCAAGAAATGTTTATGTTTATGAACCAGTAATCCATATATAAGTTTTAGTGGGTAGTAAATAATAAACAATGGGGTACCCTTTGATCAACTCCATAATAGTTACACATTAATTGATTTACAAAACCTTCTCGGTAATCAGTGGCATATTTCTCAATATTTTTTATTTTTTATTTTATTTTTTATTGCTAATTATCCCGTTCTCCTTTGTCAGTGGCTTACACCAAAAATATAGCTTTCAATAACTCACAGTTATTTTATATTTGGAAATTGATTTGAGCCGTATAAAATTACACTCTACTGTCAATGTTTCAAGCGTTAGCACTTTTAAATACAAGTATTGTTGGAGATGCTGTCACTCAACTGTCAACATGTGGTTCAGCGTCTTTAGTATTGTATATATATATATATTAATCAACTCAATACCCTATACTTCTATTTATAAACTGACGTAAAGAGAGAGAGAGAGAAATGGGGTTTAACTTCCACTCGACACAAACTAGGTAATTTCGGGACAAACATATGGTTTTTAACTTTATTTCAATAATTCGCTTGCGTGTAGGAGTCTTTAGCAGTGGGAGGAAACCGGAGGACCCGGAGAAAACCCACGAGGTTGGACAGGCGACCCTTCTCCTTGTCACATACAACCGGGGATTCGAAACCACGCCAGTTGACTCAGTGACAGGCTTTATGATACAGCGCGAACGTGAAAGTGACGTAAACAAGCAAATCGAGGGATAAAGGATAATTTGAGAAAAGAAGAATGAAATATGTATCACGTCTTAAAAACCGGAACGTTTATTGATATGCGTATCGAACGGTATCTATTTAAAATGCTGTATTAATAGTGCGTGTACTGAAGTTGAAGGAGTGGGTTGTACACCTACGCTGTCGCGTGTCACCTGTGTCGATATATAGGTCGAAACAACTCATTTTAAACTTATCTTAAGACGTGAAGCAACTTTTCCGTACTCTAAGCTGTATTATTAGTGTACGAATTCACAAGTGTTTTTACACTTTATTTTACTATCAAACAAGAATTATAACAAAGTACGTTTTTACGTATTTAAATTTAAAAATGGATTTATCAACTGCTTTGGGGGTTGTGATTATGGTAAGTTGATTTTTAACTTGTTATTGTAACTTTGTCTCGATGCCGTCTTAACAAAACTGGCGATATTTTTTTTACCAATTCTTTCTTTGCTATAAATTTATAAAACAAAACTTTTATTATTACTGATCTAGTCAAAACTATAATACATAATAAATGTCAAGGTACTTATTGTTTAACTATTGTCCACGTTCTTGAACTTAAAACAACGTTATTGAACTTAAAACAAGTTTTGAACTTCCGACAGCGTTGAATTGATTTAAATCAACCCTGTTTAGCTTATCACAATGTTGATATATATAACAGAATTGATATATTTGTAACAAAGTGTTATTATTTGTAACAAAGTGTTATTATTTTAAACTTCGTTTTATTAATTTAAACGTGGTTTTATTATTTTAAACTTGGTTTGAGTATTGGTAACATGTGAATTATGATAATATACGAAGGTGAAAATAAATGGAATAGTAGACTGAAAGTTAAAGATTAAAAAAGCCAATTTAAAAATTCATGGCTGTAACAAAATACCTGTTAGGTGTTAAACATAATATCTAATTAAACGTCACATATATCAAAGAGTAAAGACCTTTATTTGTCTCTTTCAGGTTGTGAGTGTGACTGGAACTACAGGTTTGTGGATTCATAACATTTTCCTTGAACAAAAATATAAATATACAGTCTGTGCATTTATCATTATATATTACCTACATTTAACCTAAATAATATACATATTACATTATATACATACTATATCATATATAAAATGTACAGTAAATTTTGTTGGATATGTGAATTTTCTAAACTAATGGGGAGTTACAGATCATCTAAATATTAAGCATACCCGAACTCCAACAAGACATCTAGTAGCTTAAAGATAAATGTTTGTCTTGGATACTAAAAGTCAGGGTTATTTCGTATACCAAATATCCAGATAAATGCAACGTGGTAGCATGACAATCGCAGTCAGGTTTTTGATCACAAACAGCTTGTTGAGGACAGTTAAAAACCTCCAGGCGACCAAAGTTGCACGTTCATCGTAACCATTGTCTTGACTCATAGAGGGAGTGGGGTATGAGCAACTTAAATAGAGATTTCACTTCTGTGTACGTCGAAGCTCTATAATTATGTGCGAAATGCTAACCGCTCTACTGACGTTATACACTTAATAATAACACAAACTTGATCAGGCTTTACGCAAGAGATAAATCGGCTTATTGCAGGTCTTCCTCTATGCCTTAAATGTTATATAAATTATTAATTAGACATTAATTAACTTACCAAGACCCTAATCACCTCTCGATGCCATCGGATACTCTAGATTTTCAACAGATTTAAATACGATTTGCGGTTAATGATTTAACGCAAAAATGGATAATCAAGACTTTGTATTTTATCGTAACAACGTTAGCAATCACAATCGAGACTATACTGTTCTTGAAACGGCCATAACTCGGCTCAAAAGGATATTATTCCTTTTTCTTTATCTAATTTTAAACTATTATAGCGATAATTGTCAGTTCTTTATCTAATCTTACATAATTCCTTTCCTCTTTAAAGGATTAAAGCAGTGGATGTGGATCGGGCCTGCAGTCAAATTTTAATTTTTATGGCAGCTACTCACCATTTTTGTTTTTTCTCCTATGTTTTTTAAGATTGGGTTGTTGTTTTTTCAGACGATAAAGTATGTGGTGGGAAACCTGCGGAGATTTTCTTTCTGCTTGACAGTTCTTCTAGTGTATGGAGGGAAGATTATAATCGTCAAAAACAGTTTGTGGCCGATGTCGTCGACAAATTTGTGATTTCAGAAAACCATACCCGTGTAGGCCTTGCTGTTTTTTCAAATACATATCGATTATGGTTTCCAATCGATCGATATTTAGATAAAGAAAGTATGAAAAGAGCTGTAATGCAACTTCCATACCTTACTGGGGATACAAATACGCATATTGCTTTAAAGTATATGCGAGAACGAGGTTTTAAACCTAGTCTTGTGCGAAAAGATGTAGCACGTATTGGAATAATTTTAACTGATGGAAAATCTAGATATACGGATAAAACTCTTTTGGAAGCTCAGCGCTGTAAAAACGATGGAATAGTTTTGTTTACGATTGGTATTGGCGATAAAATTGATATGAAAGAGCTAAATGCTGTGGGAACCAACCCATCATACGTGTTTCAAGTGGCTGGTTTCGATGTGTTGTATGAGATTCGCCAGAAATTAGCCTTCAAGGCATGTGCAGGTAAGAGGAATTTGAACTAAAATCTGTTATTTTATTTATTTATATTTTATTTGACGGGGGATGGGGTGGAGTGGTAATACAAGTGTTGCCATGGCATCGATCTGTCTTATCAGTTTTTAGAGCGGAAAAACAGCCAAGTACATATTATTATGAATTATTCACGATTGGGCAGGGCTGAATGAAGAAGCAACATAGTAGTGTACATTATTTTCTTATTCGGTTCTGTGTCTTTTTTTCATCATACATAAAGATTTGGAGCCCTGTAGCTATTTGTTTCTATTTCCTTGACGGTTGCGATACTTATACATAATTAGCAATCGGAAAACGTATCTAGATTACAGCAATATATTTATTAGTTACCACAGACATGATATCTGTCGACGAGAAATAGCTTATTTTTAACAATCTTCAAATTTAATTACTTATTTAGCAAATTTCAAGACATTGGTCATGGATTACCCATGGCACTAGAGTATCTTAGCGTATAATGCAGGGTTAAGATTTCAACGACAGGTACAGCAGTTGAGAGCTCTTGAGTAATAACCATATTGCCTTGTACTATGAATATCACAAATAAAGATAGGTTGCCAGGCATCGAAACCTACGCTCACAGCAGCTAAATCGTCCGGGAAGTTAACAATGGTTGTGGCAAATTTTTTTCTAATGTCAGAAATGAAAACATTCACAATACACTAAAATCGGATTACGAGTAACAACACATTTGCCTTCTAGTTCTGCCCTATTTTAACATTTAGCATACAAAACGTGTAATATGAATTGCCATAATCATCGAGAATCGTAATGCAAATTGATAGGTTTCTTCGTCTCATGAACTTAAACACTGTATAAATATAAAGTAAATCGGATATTAACTTAAGCCGGACGGGGACGACGACAATATACGACCACATTTCAATGTGGGTGTATAAAAATGGGTTTAGGATCACCCAGAATACCTAATTATAACCAGCTTGACTTATTTGACAACGTATAATATGTCGAATAGATAAAAGATAATTCTGTACAAATCTTGGTTATAGCTACATATGTGTTAATCTGTTTACGATTATATTACACGCTACAGCGAATGGGCAATGTGACGAAATCTAGAGGAACATCCCACTTAAAATTCAACATTTACTTAAATAATCTGGAATCTCAATTGCAATCCCACCTACGCAATTACATACACATATACATTATATTCATCGGATTTTAAATAGTATAACTCTGCTTACAGGGAAGTTTAGACTATACAGCAGACTATTATAAAGTATCGTGGCACCGTTTTTGCTTTGCAGTGAAACGATTTTCGTCTGTAACAAACATAGTTGAAATAAGCAGCCGGCATATTCATGGATTATTCAATTGTTTTAGTCGTTAGTAAAAATGAGCGGATAACCAATTAAACTTTGAACTTTGTCAAGTCTGATATTAAATGACATATATAAAGAGGATGTATATTTAGTTTAACAACAGTGTTAGGCCTATCCAAGAGCCGGGAAACTTATATGTGATGATAGACGATGTGTTATCAAAGTCTCTGCTATAAATTTGTCTTGCAGTGTTAGCTAAACAACAATACATCATGTTGCACTACGTTCTACGTATCGTGCTTTATGTTAATGTTTTATTTGTTGAAATTTCAGTTGAAGCCCCACAAAAAGACGAACCAAGTAAGTATTTTCGTTTTTGTTTCTTCTCTTATGTGTATATACGATGAAAAATGTCTTATTGATTTGGACTCCAACTTTGCCTGGGTTTAACATAAATCCGTAGTCTGTCGTAGGATAAACGAAATAACTTTACCCTTTAAAGTTATTTTTTATGAAATAATATATGTCAGAAATATTTGGAACGGGTTGTAAATATAGAATAAAGAAAATTAGCTAAACTTGCGGTTTAGGGCTGCTAGAAATGCCTTTACGTGAATACTTACATATTTGTTTTTCAAGTGGGAATTTATAGCGTAAGTTGTAAAGAACACAGCGTCTATACGTTCTGCATATATAGTGAATGGTGGGTATATCTATTACAGGTATAAACATCCGCGATATAAAATCTATCCTTTCAGACCCGTAAATTTAAGGAACATAACACGACTACATCTCAGTACTGGCGTTATCTATAGGTGTACTGTTGAAAGCTTAAAGTCCAATGTACTAAACTTTTTAATTTTTAACCCATTATCAAAGAGGAATGGGCATTTGAAGTGTGCACTGTCCTAATTTTAATGTTTCTGTCTGTACTCTCCACCGAAATCCAACTCTCAATCATACTGCATGAACGGGGCACATTCCTTGTTTATGACTTTTGAAATAGACCAGAATGGAAGGCCATTCAACGTGTCTGTTTCTACCTAGAATGCAATTTTTTCGCACCAGAAAGTATATTGCGCAAGGCTGGCAGTGTCACTCCTAACGCATTCCTCATGAATTTAATCAAAGCGTTATCACGTCCATTCCCAATATAATAATCACTTTAGCTATATCAATTACAGATACGTGTAAGTTGAAGCAAATTAAATTGGGTGCGTTAAGTACAGTATGAGTGGAGTAGTGAAAGTAAAGTTTTCTAGTAAAAGTTTAATTAAAGATGCATTATGTAAGAGCTAAATATGCCTTTATGTTGGCCACAAATGTTATATAAATTATTAATTATACATTTATTAACATACCAAGACCATAATCAACTCTCTAGACCACAGGATGGTCGCGAATTTCATGGAATGAAACAAGATCGTCGTTACTTTGTTTACTATCGTAACAACGGCAGCAATGATGACCGAGACTCAGCTATTCTCCAAATAGTCATAACTTCGCTCAGATTTTTTTTTCAGTATATTCATTTTTCACTAACTTTTTTGAAACTATTATATATAGCGAGAGCTTACATATTGTATCTTTAAGGTTTAATTAACCTTTATGTTGATGACTAAGTCGAGATGATCTGTTTTATTAGTTTCGGATGGCAGAGGTCCAAAATACGTCATACGACCTGGTAATAGTTAATACGTAAGATGTTTAAGTGGATATGTTAAAGTGTCGACGTGACAAATATTGCTAAACAATTCATTGGTCTTTGACGTCATTACGGCGTTTGTATTGTTTAACTCATATTTGTCGTGCATTTGAGTGACATTTAGCGATTGAGCACAATAAAAATCACAGCACAATTTATATGGAAATCAATCTATGGTTGATACACACTTGTCGAAACGTGGGTCCAATATGTGTATAAACTAGTGATTTCTATCTTTCGTGGTTTTGTTCTACTACACGGCACATACATCTTTAATACATGTACTTGAATATAATAGTTTCCATTGAAAGGTCTCGTACCAACGTATCGACATCAATTAGTCGATTCCTTGATATCAGAATATCCTAATTGTTTTTTTTCCCCAATTTGTCTCATGATTATCAAAGGGGTGGAGGGGAGGGGCTATTGAACAATTAGTCAGATCAACTCTACCTGTCCCAATAATATGATCACACAGTGGAATTTATTAATGATGTCTTTGCTTTCCTTGTAGGTTGTGGGAAAATGAAGAAAGCCGATGTTATTTTTCTCTATGATTCGGGTACTTTGGGATCTACGCAGGTCGCACAAATAAATCTCTTCATAGAAGATGTTGTCCCACATTTCAACATGGCATCCGGAAATATCAGAACAGGAATTTTAACAACAAACTGTTACCGTGGCGACTTTAATCTAGACCAATACAGGGACAAGACAGAATTTATTAAACAACTTCGTAATTTAGAGATTCCTGATTTAAGCTCAGTGGTTCGACGGTTAAGACTTCACAGTTATAACCCAGAAAATGGCGGCCGACCAGACGTGAGAAAAATGGCGGTTATCTTTTTAGACGACAAATTACGTGTGCCAAAGAAAGTGATGTCTGAGGTGTCTAGGGCGAAATTCGGTGGTATTGAAATCTTCGTGGTCACAGTTGGTGACAAGTATGATCCAAGGGAAGTAGAAGATATTTGTACGCCACCCATGAACAACCATATGATAAATTTCAAAAGCTACAACTCGCTTGCTGACGTCAAAAATGTCACGAGACCAAACTTTATCAACATGTTTTGCAACGGTGAGTCGCCTCCCCTTAGAACGACAACAACAACAACAACAACTACAACAACCACAACAACAGTTTTGGCATTAGAACAGCCACGGGCGAGTGCCAGTTGTGCCTATTCTGTGTGTAGTGGAGCTAAAAAACATATATCTATAAATAGCTTAGTTCTCATGCTTTTAGTGTTGTTGCTAAACAGTGGAGTAGTGTGATAACTTATATAATGCTTCCAGTGCTTACAATCGGTGGTGGGTTTTACATATAATACCATAGCATGCCTCTGCCTGCTTCTTTTATTATATATACTTCCTAGCACCAGCCACAAAAAATATTTAGGAATCACAATATTCGTCCCGTTAAACCCAGCGTGTAAATCCACAGACTGTTGCTATATTGTTTATATTTGAACGCGCAGGTAGATTAGGTATCAGGCGTATGTCGGAATATCTTGGTATTGCGCGGATAGCTAAACATCGCCATTTAGCACTTAATTTTACTGCTTTAAACTCTCTTAATACTCTGACATATATACGAATCTAAACCTGGATGAAATCGTATATTGGCGTGTAATTTCCCATGAAATGCAATATTACCCACTAAAATAGGTCGAGCATTATGTATCATCGAAGTTATATTTAATTTATTGTTTTTATATTTAATTCATTGTTTATGCTAGGTCCCCACTGTCGTGGGATGCGTTACGATAGGATTGTCCCTAATAGAGACTTTTGGAAAGCGAAAATTCCTGGTCCGTATCGAGGTCATCAATTTGTGCGTAGTTCGCATATGTGACGCGGCATACGGATACGGAAGTACGTATCGAACAGCTTTCATACGAAAAAGGTCCGTATAAAGGTCCGTCTTCTTTTTGCCGACTTTTCCCCACTTTTAGACGATGAAATGTTTTGTCAAATGTTTGATGTGGTTTTAAACATGATAAAGACTGGAATTTTATTATTGAAATGGTGGAAATCGGAACTTATACGTACGCGACGCGAAAATCTGCCAAAACTCTAAAACTACGGTGCCGCAATTTCTGCTTGCCACAAGTCTCTATTGAGTCCACTATCTGGTATGTGTAGATACGTTCGGATACGTTTCGATACGATCAACATGAATGCTACGACGGACCACAATATATGATAAGACCTGATAGGATCACCACGATTACTCCACGATTAAAACCACGATTTCAATCGTAGCGGTAATCATGACAGTGAGAACCTAGCATAAAACCACCCTTTATTAACTGAATTGTAGTCGGACATTGCTGTTGTCGCATTTTCATTCTTTGCATTTTAATTCTGTCCTATTTCACCAAGGGTGTGTATACATGTATATAGAATAGACTCCACCATAACATCCATATGATAACTATTATAATACGTCATGTTTCATACAATAGACTAACATTTACAATGGTATATATCGCACTACATATTTACTTCCTTAATAATCACAGCACTGCTTATCGTTTGTTATGAAACATAATCCTGCCTGTGTGTTTCTAATTCCGTGTTAGAGCTATCTTGCCTTATTTTAAATATGAATTCTGAAATGAACCGCCATTTGTTGCGTTCTGTAGCTTAGAATTGGCAATATTCAATCACCAGTCTATTGTTTGGAACTTTCGAGGAAAGTTAATCAATATACAACAGCCAATTTCGACTAAGCCCCTGACACTACTTCCCTCTATATACTCTTGCCGTGTAATACAGCATATTTTGAACGAAGCTTTGTTGATCTTAACGTAAAACAACCCCAAGTCCCTATATTTAAGGAATTTAATTTTAGCATGTTTGATTTAACCTAATGAGTTTCAGTGATTATAATTATTGAATATTGTCTGTTTTGTATATTTCAGATCTGGTGGATCCCCAGCTATAGATGATTGGGCCAAGAAATATAGATATCTTATTGTTAAATCAGGAATGCTAAATACCTTAAAGATTGTACTCCATGAACTTCAAGTAAAGCGGGACTGCTTATTATTCCATTAGCATTCCTTACAAATATCGGTCAAAGATATGAAAGACATTTTACAAGAAACCTCTGTGAAGCTTGACCCTTTGAGCGACGTGTGACCTCCAGACTGTTAACACCCCTAAAATATGTCTTAATACAAGAGTGGTTTGCAGCTCTGTTCCATACGTGACGTTCCTTCCTAGAGTTATAGTGTGTGAAATAGAGGAATTAGCAATTATTTGTTATCGTTTAAGACAAGTTTCTTGAATAGTCCTGCTTTCGTGCATTAACCATTGTAATTCTTTATATACCGAACTGTAAATTGTGATCATCCGTCAGATAATGAAAATCAAATATGCAGAGATTTTACTATAATTTAAACTTACAAAATATGTACAGATCATGCATGTTTGGATATCTAATGTTGAAATAGCTTGCAGTAGGTTGAAGGGAGCTCAAGGATATATTGTTGCAATATATGGTAGTCAGATTTGTCACTCCCGGCTTTAGATTTTAAATGTATCGAAATAATATAATTTTCCAACACTTTAGGTAGCTTAAAAGCCGTTTTAATATCGCACCCAGAGCTACCACGTTATTTTGGAAACCAATAACGTTAGAATGAGGTGGGTGAGTGGGGATGGGGTCCAATCATTTGGCGGACCTCTTGTTTGATCACATTTAGCACGAGTCAGTTAATATTGAGATGGCGATATCTCGAAAATCAACTAGTTGCAAAAACTGGGAGTTTTAAAGTTTACAGAGCAAGGATTAGACGGAATCGGACAGATTAGGCTCAGTTTTCGACTTCATTTAACATTTCTGGATAGAATTATCGATTCCAGCTACTGATTATTGTTAGAAGTATTTGTACACAATCTGCTTTAAAAATTCCAAAGATCATAAACTGGGTAAATCATTGATTCTCGGCATTTGGTCATGAATAAAATGCATTTGTTGTCGACCCCACAAGGTTCTGTGAGAAAAATAGCACTGGAAACAGCTTACATAATTATACTTGTATCCTCAGCGATGTCACAAATCATCTTATAAGACTGATTCGTCTAATTATGTTGTGTAAACGTTCTAGGTTGTGACTGAAAGCAAAATTAAAACAGTTAAATTGTCGCTCTGAATTTAAAAAAATAACTGTAGTGCCATTTGTCGCTATGTATTTGATTTATTTATTCTTATCTTGATTTATAACCAAGCTTGAAGCTTATTTATTTAATACACTCTGCTGAACACGTAATAGACTTTAATTAAAGGCTTATGGGTGTGCAGAGTGCAGCAGTTTTAAAAACGGACGGATAAATGGACGATTTCGCACTATTTCGCTTTAATTAACACTTGTATACATATTTAACACAGGAAACCCAATTTTCAATTATTAAAAATATGCAAAATGTATATAATATTTTTTGGGGTGTTATAAAGTTTAAATATTTTATAAATGTTTTCAAATCTCTATAGTGATATTATTGTTGCTGATCTATATCTACGGTTTTGTTAATAACTAGTCTTCCATTTCTCCCGACATGTCGAATTATGCTGTACTTTATTGTTGAGTTTTCCAAGATTATTTATTTTATTTATGTAATTCGCGTTCTGTGTATAATATCATGTTATTATTTATGTATTATATTTTTTTAAATACTCTCATATTAAATTTACATGGTTATCAAAGTATTTTAAAACATTTTATTTAATATATTTATACCAGTTATGCATATTTTCTTTGGAAATGAAATGAATGGAGTTTATGGCACGTCAGCTCCAACCGGGCTATATGGTGCCAAACACATGGTGATTTTGACGAGACAGATTAAACCAATATCACATAAATATATTTATATACATAAATAAAAACTAGTATCACAGACAATAATGTTATTAAAAATAAATACAAATAAATATAAGTCCTTTATTTATATAAATAGATAAAAACAAAAATATAGGATATATTTATGCAATTAAAATTTGTAATAAAAGTTTGTCTCTTTTAAAAAGTTTAATAATTTTCCATACAGCTCCGGTTAAGCAAATAATTGATGTAGTGACTGGCAACGGTAATAGTTTGATCTTACATTCTTGAGATGATTGCACTCAATCAAAATGTGTTCAGCTGTCAAAGGAACATGACAGTGAACACATTCTGGTTGAATCTCTCGCTTCAAAATGAAAATGTGAGTCAAAAGTATGACCAATACGAGAGCTACACAAAACAACCTTATCCGTCCTATAGGAGGTTCTATAGGAGTTGGGCAAGTCTCCTATGAGAGGTTTAATGTGATGAAGTTTATTTGTGTCTGCAAGATACCAAGACCGTTGCCAGCGTTCATATCTATAAGAATTTATAGAAAATTTAAAATCATTGAAAGGTATTAAAAATTAGGATATGGGAAGATCTAAAGCAAACTTATCAGCCAAATCTGCTTGATCATTCCCTTTTATATCCATGTGACTGGCCGGGGAGCCAGCAAAGGACAATATGCTTGCTGATACTCTCGAAAGATAGTAACAAACGATAATGGGTGATCAAGTTGTTTATTATTTATTGAAAACACCATGTAAAACCTCAACATAATAACGAAAGTTAAACATAGGATGCAGGTCATTCCCAATGCCAGGGTTTACGTTGGTTTATCGCCGACAGAACATTTCCCTATTAGCGAAAATATGTCGGGAAACGATTTCGCATATTGCCCATCGCTCGTGATATTTAGGTTCAGTGATATTTATATTCAGTTTTGCTAAATCTTGATTATTTTCGTGAATGACAAAAGTAGATTGTGTTTATATTTAATCGCATGATGTGTACTAATGTAAGCATAATGTGGTAAGGAAACCAATGTCCTCTTTAATGACTTATTGAAGAGGTAAGTTGGCCATCTTAGTACAGTTGAGGGGTAAATTAGTCCATGGCCGACAAATTTGTCATAAAGATCAAATAGAACTTATTATCGTTTCCCTGTCACGAACTGTTATTACAACGGACATTGATCTTATCGTATTGTCGTAACGGACGAATGAGGTTTGGGTGTCTTTATATAGACATGTGAGTAATCAAATGTAAAGTTGATGAACTTGTATCAAAATTAAAGGATCGTGTTGTGGGTAAGTGGATAGGTGATGCAATAGAGATATTTGAATGCGCACTAAATCCTGCTATAATTTCACAAAAAAACACCCCTTTAAGAATTTTTAAAACATATCTTGTCTAAATAATCAACATATATGAAGCAACACTGCTTCGGCTGAATAAATATTGGTAAAACTGAAAACAAAGTAAGACCAAATCACTAGATATTACTTGTATTTTAATCAAAACATTGTAGAACAGGCTGTATTGTCATTCTGAAGCAATATTTTCGACTCATTAAACAAAATTGTTAGCTTTATGAGCTTATCATATGAACGGAAAGTGTTATCAAGTGTTCTAGAAATAATGATATTATCTTTGTTTTTACACGAGAGTCATAACACCTAATATATTTAAGTATTACCTTTATTAATTCATTTGCAATTAATTCATTTATTTTTTATTTATACATTTTTATAAGTTATGCAATATATAATGTTCTATAGCGGCGCTAAATTGGGGCATCGAGAATTTAAGTCATGTAAACAATTAATTATTTATTGAAAAACTGTTTATAAGCTATGCAATACAATGTAAAATATATTATTACGTCATGTTATATATTTAAACATTGATTATACGCTGTGTACTATAATGTTCTATGCTGTTTATGTTTTGATATAAAATAGTAATCTAAAATGTTTTTGTTAGTCGCTATATGAAAAAACAATGTTTATATTTATTGATGCACTATAGGTGGGTCAGTGTGTGGCTCACTAGCCATACGGGTCGGAGATCTATTCCGGTTTTGGCCGAGAAACATCCCAGGGCTTTTCGCCTGGTCGATCGGTGTTGCAGAAAGGAAATGAAATGGGGTTTAACGTCCTAGTATTCTGCTCCGACTGGGCTAATGAAGAGGGACATACGCCATACAGTGTTCTATCAGGAAAAATGGGCCCGGACGGCGGCGCTACGACCTACTCTTATATCGAATTCTAACTGCCAGGTGAATTTTTACGTACACGCCAATTTGTACACGGGACCTCGTTTTTTTTCGTCCCAGCTGAACGGCTAGACATATTATAATTCATATTATAATAGATGATCAGTTCAATAATAAGACAAGTGAAAATAGACAGTTTGATAAATAAAAGGCATGTTATCTCGAACTTACTCCAATCTCTGCCATCATTAATCGACCCAAACCTCATTTTCCACGATTGAAGGAATTAAAACTATATAATTCATAAAATAGATTATCAGTTCAATAATAAGACAAGTGAAAATAGACAGTTTGATAAATAAAAAGTATGTTATCTCCATTTTTGCCATCATTAATCGACCCAAATCTATTTGCGTAGGTGTGAGTTGGATCCTGCGCAGCTATTAAATGAAGCTCATCATAAATTATGTTCTACAAAAACGGTAGTGGAACAAATTATTCCACCAACAAGTGATGCACTGGATGAGCATTTATTGTATGCTAATTATCAGGCTTGCATCCACAAAAGATCTTTATGTCAGGGGATGCAAATGCCATCTCCAAACAATAATGGTTGGATTGTACATAATAACGAATTAGAAATTGTATGGATGACTATGAACCCTTACTTGATGTTGTTCAATGTAACTGTAAAATAGGACGCAACAATGTTCGTTGTGTTTGTTTTAAGGGTAAAGTTTCATATACTGATTTGTGTAAAAATGCATTCAGTGTTGAAACCGATGAAATTGATATTGATTTTGAGTTAGATGATGAATATATTGTATTATGATTTTATTTTTATTGTATCAATGTTATTTCATTTCACACTGATACTCTTTCTTGTTGGGTGAAAATCGTTGTATGTAATTTGAATGGTTTTATTAGAGTTACACGTATAGAAACAAGTACTTGGTTGTTATCCTTCTAATCTTCCTTTAATATCCTCATTGAGTTTCAGTGGCTCAATGTGGTCAAAATATCTTTTGGGGCTCTCTTACATCATTTCCCTACAGGAATGGGGCGTTTATTTGGCTCATTGAATCTCTGTTAGTACCGACCGCGAGCAATTGGCAAAGTAAATCGTGCACATGACCCCATCACTTTTGACCACGACCCTTCAAGCGCGAATTTTAAATAGCTGCGCAGGATCCAACTCACACCTACGCAAATATGACTCCCCACTATAAAGAAATAAGCCATCGATTTCTGTCCTTTTACCAACTAACACTACTAAATTAACAAATTATATTGGAGAACTTTGTTAACATGTTGATTGCACAATTATTAACAGTCCGATTTTTAGACTGGTTTTGCGGGAGCGAAGGTGACATGTTTTTCGATCCGGCCTATAAGTCTCCATCAATTCAAATACGATCGACATAAAACTTTGCAATCATTCTTTTTCCTGGACCAATTGCGGATCGATTGACGTACGTCATGCTCAAGCCCCTGGTCCATAGTACGTCCACAATATTGTGCAAATAAATACGAGATGATTTATACTGATCGTTGTTTGCAACTATTTCAGTATTAGATGATGGTCAAAATATAAACGTCTGCAATGGCCGAATTTATCCTTTAAATTTTTACATTGATACACTATGGTATAAATCCCTATTATAGGTTTGTCATCTACACAACGTAGAATCGCATTGCAGCTCTTTTGGTTTTATGCAGCCCCACTACTGCTAAACAGATCGTGTTCAAACTACTAATTGATATAAAATCAAAACATTAGTTCTGAAATGAAAAAGGTTATATGTATGATGTAGAGAGAACAAGTATCTGTACGGCGTGATTAAGGGTAGACAACTATTATTGTAAACAGCCATTCCATTGTCATGTATGTTAAATCTTCCAAGTTCGTACAATATATGGTAATCTGGAAAACATATATTACGAAAGAAATTCGTGTAATACTCCCATCAAGGAGTTCATTCCAACCCAGGTTTTAGGACGGGTGAAAAATAAGGTTTGGGTCGATTAATGATGGCAAAAATGGAGATAACATACTTTTTATTTATCAAACTGTCTATTTTCACTTGTCTTATTATTGAACTGATAATCTATTTTATGAATTATATAGTTTTAATTCCTTCAATCGTGGAAAATGAGGTTTGGGTCGATTAATGATGGCAGAGATTGGAGTAAGTTCGAGATAACATGCCTTTTATTTATCAAACTGTCTATTTTCACTTGTCTTATTATTGAACTGATCATCTATTATAATATGAATTATAAAGTTTTAACTCCTTCAATCGTCTTTGAGATAGGATATGAAATCTAGGGCTCACAACCCCGAAACATGGTTATCATTCAGGATAAACACATTGACGAAAGAAAAGGTTTTGGACAATCGGAAATACCGACAATGTAATAGAGGTGATGACAATTCTCAAATGAAAGGTGTATAAAGAATCCGACTTCCTTGTTAAAGTGGAACAGACCATAAAAGTAGCATACGATAGTAGGCTGTAAAACTTTGGTCAGTAGGGTGTGTTGGGTCACAACATTTAGGGTTTGTTTTAAACCTGACGAAATACCCTGGATTAGCCTTTTCTGTAACAAAACATGTCTACTCTACCTTTTTGGTGAGGCAGGTAGATAACAGGACTAAGGCGTTGCTTACGGTGATATTCACGGTGGATTGTTGCAAGTTTATAGTATGCTACTTCCAATTTGTGTATCTCAAAATGTCAATGGGCAACCTCGTACAAACTTTGGAGCAAGGTGTTGGTCCGTCTGTGGTGGGGAACGTTCAATTTATGCTCTACCTTTGTTTAGCTCTCTTGTATGCTTAGTAGTGCTTTGGTGGGCCAATCATTCGTATAATACGGCACAATATGACGTCCAATACCCCTAACACGGTACATTTTAACGTGGCCACACGAAGAAAACAAATCACCATAGTAATAAGGTTAATACATATAGGTTTGGCCTTCGTCACAAATGAAATGAAATGGGTTTTAACATTCGCTTTTTCAGCACCAACCCCGCTAATTGAGAAAGGGGATGTGTCATGTAGACTGTGCTGTTAGGAACATTGTGTCCAGATAGTGGCGTATCCGTCTACTCTTCATCTGTCAAGGGTTCTTGTATGTGCACGCTGACATACACGCGGGACCTCGGTGAGTAAGATGCTCCCGGTGTTAGACGAGAAAGTTCATCGAAATTTTCCGGTGTGATTTCCCCTTGTTAGTGCTTCAACACGGAGGACCTGTCCAGAACAGCTGTCTAGCCGTTCAGCTGGGACGAAAAAAAACGAGGTCCCGTGTACAAATTGGCGTGTACGTAAAAATTCACCTGGCAGTTAGAATTCGATATAAGAGTAGGTCGTAGCGCCGCCGTCCGGGCCCATTTTTCCTGATAGAACACTGTATGGCGTATGTCCCTCTTCATTAGCCAAGTCGGAGCAGAATACTAGGACGTTAAACCCCATTTCATTTCCTTTCTGCAACACCGATCGACCAGGCGAAAAGCCCTGGGATGTTTCTCGGCCAAAACCGGAATAGATCTCCGACCCGTATGGCTAGTGAGCCACACACTGACCCACCTATGGTGCATCAATAAATATAAACATTGCTTTTTCATATAGCGACTAACAAAAACATTTTAGATTACTATTTTATATCAAAACATAAACAGCATAGAACATTATAGTACACAGCGTATAATCAATGTTTAAATATATAACATGACGTAATAATATATTTTACAGGTCATCCAGAGAGTCTAAGAACACTGAAAATCGTAGTCGTTGCAATGCTTCATATAATAGTCCATGAGCATGCAATGATTGGTTATAATGGCGTCCATTAATTACTCCATTAATCGAGTCCTGGGCCACTACATCAGATTCCATCAATATATCTTGCAAACCGGCATCTTTATACACTTTTCCAATTATAGCAATCAACGCCATAGTGGTATGGAACTCACCAAGTCTTATGACCAGTCTGTTGCTCAATTCAAGCTCCTTCCATCTGATGTGTTAGGCTTTGGCATGTATAGCTTGATCAAAGACAAGTAATATATTGGAAATTTGGAAACTGTCAGCAACAGAAACACTTTTAATAAGAATGGTATTTACTGTGGTCATTTCAGTTGGAGATGCCTCGATTACAGGCATATTGTGAATAGCAGATTTTGGAAAAATGGTTGAATCTATCTCACAATTGAAACCAGTTCATCCCGATAAATGATCATCGTAACTACTTGTTAAAAAATTCAAAATAATAAAAGATAAGATACATCCAGGCTGTTTGCAGATTTTAGATTGGCCATAAAATACTCATCTATTTCAATGTCACTTTGTAAATCTAAGGGAGCATGCCTCTTGGTAAGGTGATACTCAAATATTGTGACAGGCTTTGCTTTTAAATTTCCGTTGACCCCTTGGTAGGGAAAGTTCTCTTCGTTTATGTTTCTGATGTCATTACTTTATTTTGTATCAGGATTCCATTTGTATGGTGTGTTGTACCCTTTCCAGACAAAGTTTCTTCCCCAAAGTCAATGTGGTTCCAAACTAATATAGTAGGAATAAAGCGTCCGAATTCTTTCGGAATATTGCCTTGTGTAGAAAATTATAACTCGGGCTGAACTTGTTTCAAAGCCAATAATTGTAGAAGTTGATGAACAATGACCAAGTTTGTGTAATTGTCAGTAACTGCGAAGCACCGGTAAGATGCCTGGTTATTAAGCCGAGACTGAGTGTGTTACGGCAATAATCCACTTTTTGTCATTTATGTCATCCATTCTTTCGAACGGATCCTTGTCCAGAATTTAGCTATTAATTAGTCCTAGTCAATATTTTTCAACATGTGTAACCACATGTTTGTTGATAACCGCCATGTTTTTCTGTCAAGATGTTTAACGTTATTCGTTAATTGTTTTATCGTTTCGTTAATTACGAGACTATTATTTTTACAGTCCCCACAAGCTGTAAGTAACATTATTATTCAATTTAATGTCCATTTATGATATCTAAAGCAAACGTAGATTATGCCTAAACGTTTATTTACTTGTATATCAAACTTAAAGTTATTTTTCTTTTCGTTGTAGCAAAACCTGTCAGTTACCGTGATTACTGTCTGTCAGTTACTGTGATTACTGTCTGTCTGTTACTACCGTTAGTACTGTTGCTGTTGTAACCAAAAGTAAAGTTCCACATGTACTGATGTAGATCTATTGTATAACGTCTTAAAGTTAACGTCATGAATCGTATAAAAAGAATTGTCGACATATCGTAAACGTAAAAGAATAAAGTATCGGTAAGGACAGTGTATTTAAAGAAGCTTGTGTATTATTGTTAAACGACTCCTATAATGGCTTTGGTCATTATATTAGTTTTGAGCTTAAGACTGTAAAAGTTAAACAGTAGTTGTAAATGGTTTCTACAAGATGGCGGAATCTGTAGCATCTTCCGATTTTGACGAAGTATCAAGTGTCAGTTCATCTAACATCAGTCGTAAATCAAAGGCATCGTTCATCACGGTTGATTCTCTTTTCTCAGCAAAGGCAAAAGAAGCAGCAAAGAAAGCTGATTTGTTAACAAAGGTTGCGTTTGCGAAAGAACGACAGGCCCTCAAGGAGCAAAAGTTAAAACTAGAGTTTGAACAAGAACAATTAGAATTACGAACTCAATTACAAATCGTAAACGCTAGAGAAAAGGCCCTCTCAGACAATTTGATTCACGAAATCGGTAGGCCTATAGATAAATGTACACCTATTCGTTCAAAATCACCAAAGTTACCTGTAGATCAAGTAAGCAACCATTCAGCTGTTTCATCACATGGTAAACTATCTGATAGATTGTATGAAACACCTCAACGTAACGAAATACCTTCACCTGCAGATCAAGGTCATGTAACACCTACAGTTCATTTACCAGTCGAAACTGCTCAACGTCATAATGAAGTTTGTGGTAAATTGTCTGATAAAACGCCTCAACAAAATGAAATACCATTGTCTACTCGTCAAGATCGTGTGACCCCGGTTGGATCTGTTGAACAAAAGGACAATATTCGTAGTTTAATAAAACAGCAAAATGAAATGCAAAAAAGGCAAACACACTTATCCGAACTTATGCTCGAACAACATGAACGTAGTCTTTTACCACAACCACATATTAATAAATTTAGGGGTGATCCCTTGAATTATCAATCTTTTGTGAAATCATTTGAAAATCGTATTGAAAGAAAGTTAGCTGATTACAGTGATAGACTTTACTACTTAGAACAATTAACGGAGGGTGAACCCAATCAGCTTGTTCGCAGTTGTTTACATATGGAACCACAAAAGGGTTACATTAAAGCATTAGAATCGCTTCAGAAAAGATATGGCGATGAATATAAAATAGCATCAGCTTACACAAGTAAACTGTTAAAATGGCCTCCGATAAAAACTGAAAATTCCATGCAATTAAGTAAATTTGCCATATATCTCTCTAGTTGCCTGAACGCCATGAAAGATGTAGGTTATCTAGATGAAATGAATCATTCTAAAAGCTTACTTGAACTTATGGAAAAATTACCCTATAACTGCAAGGAACGTTGGCGTAGAAATGCTGCACAAATAAGACTGTCACAATATAGAAAGGTTGATTTTCAAGATTTTGTAGAATTTGTAAATGCTGAAGTCGATATAGTGACAGATCCTGTTTTTGGTAAATCATCGTGATTATACTTTATCTAAACCGACCTTTAACCGTTCAAGAAGTTTCGCCACTGATGTCCATTCAAAAGAAAGATCAAATTCTTTTCACAATCACTCAACAGCGCCTCCTCAACGTGTTATGATATGTTTATTTTGTCACCAGTTTCACCACATCGATGATTGTAAAGAATTTCTCAAGTTAGCATATGAGGAACGTAGAAGATTTGCCTTTTCAAAATATTTATGCTTTGGTTGTCTTGGTAATAACCATGATTCAAAAAACAGTACAAATAGACGGATTTGTAGAATATGTCAAAAGCCCCATCCCACTGTTTTACATTGTGATAATTTCTCTAATCAGTTTCGCACGGGTAATCAAAACTATCAAAGTACTCAGTCAAGAAACCTTACTTCAAGTCAACACAATAACTTTACATCCACTTCACCAAATCCAACGTCTAACATCTGCAATAGAAATGCTAATCAAACTGAAATTCCAAATCATAACGTAACAAATGGTTGTATTAACGCAAATAGTAACGTAACTAATAACTCTGAAACTGATTTAGTAATGCCTATTGTTCCTGTGAAATTAATTAGTGGTAATTCCAGTATTTTGACATATGCATTTTTAGACAATGGTTCAAGTGGTTGTTTTATTTCTGAAAGTTTAGTAGACCAATTAAGCATTAAGGGGAGACAACTCCAGTTAGTGTTAGGAACAATGCATATGGTGAATCTTTGGTTGATAGTTTTGTGTTTAATGACTTAAAGGTAACTGATTTAAATGAAAACTTTGCTCCTATTGATCTTCCTAAGACATATATGAGAAGTGAGATCCCTGCAAATATAACTAGAATACCAACTCCGAGTGTACTCAAGCAATGGAAATACTTAGAAAATGTTCCCATTAACGAATACTTACCTGACCTTGAAATCGGTCTTTTGATTGGTACTAATTGTCCCAAAGCTATTGAGCCTATTAAGGTTATACCTAGTCAGTTAAATGGACCATACGCATCGTTAACACTTCTTGGTTGGACAGTATTAGGTCCTGTTAAAGCAAACAGTTTGCCGCATATTCTAGAATGTAATAGAATATTCATTAAAGAAATGGATCCAGTTTCTTCTACCTGTCATCAGTTAGCTATTAAGGAAAACATTCAAGAAATAGACATAACACAGTTCTTATTAAAAATGTTCGAAATAGACTTTATTGACTACAATCATAGTAACGAACTTGGTTTATCGCAAGATGATCGATTATTTCTCAACAAAGTTACTAACTCTATCCATATGTCTGAAGGACATTATGTTATACCTCTTCCATTTAAAGAATCAGAAACTAACATCAGTGTTCCATATAATAAAGATCAAGCTTTAAAGAGGCTTTCGTGGTTACAAAAGAAATTTGAGAAGGATGCAACTTTCAAGAAAGATTATAAAGATTTCATGGATAGTATGTTAGATAATGGTTACGCTGTTAAAGTTCCACAAGAACGTCTTAATGCTGATCCGGGTAAAGTTTGGTACATTCCTCATCATGGAGTATACCATCCCACTAAACCAAATAAATTAAGAACAGTATTTGACTGTAGTGCTGTATGGAACGGTAAATCATTAAACAGTTTTTTACTTCAAGGGCCTGACCTGACGAGTTCTTTAGTTGGTGTTCTTACAAGATTTCGAGAAAAACCTGTTGCCTTTATGGCTGACATTGAAGCCAAGTTCCACCAGGTATGTGTGTGCCTTTACAACAGTGGGATTATCTGCGCTTTTTATGGTGGCCTGATGGCAATGTAAACTTAGAACCAGAAGATTATCAAATGACCGTACATTTGTTTGGTGACGTTTCATCACCAAGCTGCTCGAATTATGCTCTACGACAAACCGCAGATGATAATGTTGATTATGGTGAAAGTGTTATAAACACCATCAAACGTAACTTTTATGTCGATGATTGTCTCAAATCGTGCAACGATGAACAGGAAGCAATTAATTTAGTTAAAGACTTAATTGGAGTTTGTTCGAAGGGTGGTTTCAACCTAACTAAATTTATAAGTAATAGTAGAGATGTTATTAAATCCATTGAAAAAGACAAACATGCAAAAGATATTAAGAATCTTGATTTAGACTGTGATTATCTCCCTTTAGAGCCTGCTTTATAAAATGATACTTTTGGTTTTCGCATTGTAATTAAAGGTAAACCGCTTACCAGACGTGGAATCCTCTGGATTATTGGTTCAATTTTTGACCCTTTAGGTTTTGTAGTGCCTATTACTCTTCAAGCAAAACGAATCATGCAAGATCTTTGTAAAGATAAGCTCAGTTGGGATGAAGATATAAAAGATGAACATAAATCTCAATGGATTAAATGGATTGAGCAATTACCCATTTTAGAGAACTTTCACATAGACAGATGTCTGCAACCAGTTAATTTCGGTCAAATTATTAAACGAGAAATTCACCATTTTGCGGACGCTAGCTCAACAGGTTATGGTTCCGTCGCCTATCAACGTATAATTAATGAAAGAAACGAAATTCATTGCTCTTTTTTAATGGGTAAATCTCGTCTTGCACCAGTTAAACCTGTCACTATTCCGCGCCTTGAATTAACAGCTGCTACAACAGCTACACGAATTGGAAGTATTTTACAGAAAGAGTTTGAATTGAAACCGGATACAGTAACCTACTGGACTGATAGTGCAACTGTACTAAAACATATAAAGAATGAAACTAAACGTTTTCATGTATTTGTTGCTAATCGCGTTGAAATGATTAGAAATGAAAGCCGTGCAGATCAATGGTTTCATGTCAATAGTGATTGTAATCCAGCCGATATTGCTTCAAGGGGGATAACTCCTAATGAATTAATCGTGAACTCACAGTGGTCAATGGGGCCGGAGTTTTTATGGAAAACAAACGATAATTGGCCTGAACAAGTTGAAGTTGAAAGTATTTCTGATAATGATTCCGAAGTTAAATCTAATGCACTTATGTTACGTGTAAAAGTGTGCCTTCAAAACTTAGTGAAAGAACGTAAAATTTATGACTCAGAACTTTTGAATCTTGAACCTGATCCTATCAAACGAAACGTGGAAGTAAAGGCAAGAATAGATGAGTTTAAATGCAACGGAAACTGGAACAACGTTATCAGTTTAACCGAGCTTAATTTAGCTGAAATATCAATTCTAAAATTCATTCAGTATCTCGCTGATTGTTTTTGGCAGAGATGGCGCAAGATATCTAATCAATCTTCAACAACGACTAAAGTGGACTGCTCCTAAAATGAGTTTAAGTGTTAATGACATTGTTTTAATTGTCGATGAAAACGTGTCTAGAAATAATTGGTTAATGGCACGTGTTATAGAAATTAAATGCGATGAAAGTGGTCTTGTAAGAAGTGCTCTTGTTAAAACAAAAAGTTTTGTTGTGCTTAGACCAATTAGCAAAGTAGTTCTATTATTGCCTTAGGGTGCTTTAGTTAAACAATTTATCATTGTTTAAGGGGCCGGTATGTTACGGCAATAATCCACTTTTTGTCATTTATGTCATCCATTCTTTCGAACGGATCCTTGTCCAGAATTTAGCTATTAATTAGTCCTAGTCAATATTTTTGATACATGTGTAACCACATGTTTTAGTCCAAGAGCCAGTGACGAAAAAACTGCCTCATAAGTAATAGAAGGTTTGACTATATTAATTGGCAGCTATTGATAGGGCAAATTCAAAACACCCAGTCTTACGAGGTTTCAGTGGGGCATTTGGCTGGGAGGGGCAGATAAAAAGGGCCAAAAAGGACTAAAATTTGCCTCATAAGTAATAGGATCAGAATTATTTCTAAAATGTTGCCATACAATGTATGAATATAAAAAATATAAATCTGACCAGAAAAAGTGGGGCCATGCCCTTTTCTGACTGCCTTAAAAAGTGCTGACGGGGGCCAAAATTTGCCTCATAAGTAATATAGTTGAAATTGGTGCCAAATGTTAGCTATGTACGAGCCGATTTTAAAAATATCAAATCTGACTGGTTTCAGTGGGGCATATCCCTAATCTGACCACTTAAAATCTGCCCGATCTGCCACGCCCACAAAAAAGGTCAAAATTTGCATCATAAGTAATACGATCAGAAATGTTGTGGTGCTATATCTGAATCTTAAAATGTAAAATCTGACCGGAAAAAATGGGGCCACGCCCCTTTCTGACTGCTCTAAAAAATGTGGACGGGGGCCCCAAAATGCCTCATAAGTAATAAGACTGAAATTGGTGCCAAATGTTAGCTAATTATGAGACTATTCTAAAAATATCAAATCTGACTGGTTTCATTGGGGCAAACCCCTAATCTGACCACTTAAATGTGCCGAATCTGCCACGCCCACAAATGGGGTCAAAATTTGCCTCATAAGTAATATGACTGAAACTAGTGCCAAATGTTAACTATGTATTAGTCGGTTCTAAAAATATAAAATCTGATGGGTTTCTGTGGGGCAAACTCCTAATCTGACCACTTAATTGTCACCAACCACCCAAAGGTTGAATACTCATGCTTGATTTCAATTCAAATTTAAATCTATAATCTAACTAATTTGACACCCCACTATTAATTTACAGTTTTCAACAACATAGTAGAAATTCAATACAGCATGGCTGGCCTCCAAGTGACATGATTCTCCATTAAAGGAGTCAAGTCTTGAACTCAATATCATCCCAAATTTTCAACCAAGTGATACAATTCTCCATTAAAGGGGCCAAGTCTTGAACTCAATATCATCCCCAATTTTCAACCAAGTGATACGATTCTCCATTAAAGGGGCAAAGTCTTGAAGTCAATATCATCCGTTTTCAAGTTGCAAACACGACTTAAATGGTCAATTTAAATCAACATACATTGATGTTGTTATCTTACCATGAAAAGTTGAGCTTCTGGCATTTAAGACAAAATGAAAATGTTAAAATTGGCACACGAATCGTGTGTCAGAACATTTTTGAGCGCAATTTGTATGAAGCGACTTGATGAACGAG